CTAAGGTTAGTATAGGAGCTATAAAATATCTTCCATGTTTTCCACCATGTGCAATTAAGTAACAACAAAAAGATATGCGTGTACAGTAGGCCCTACTTGTATTATATTACATCTATCATAATATGCTACCCTTCTATTTTTAACTTCATTAGAGCTATCAAAGGCCTGTCTTCATGTTTTCTACCATGTGCAATTAGGCAACATAAAAGATGAATAAAAAAAATATGCGTGTACTTGTATTATATTACGCCTATCACAATTTTCTACCTTTTCATCTTTCACTTTATTAGTTGGAACTCAATTAGTATTCCATGATACAATTCAATATTTACGACAACGTAAAATATAATGTTGAGAATTTTTTATCTGTATATTATACCATCCTCCATGATTATACCCAATTGCATTTAAATATTAAACTTAGACACAATGCGAGCATTTTCGTGGCAACTGTTTTTATTCATCTGTATATTGATTTTCAAAACTTTATGTTCTACTAATATATATTCTCGGTAATATTTCTTACGATTTTTATGAATACTATTGGCGTTATCATTAACCTTGCATCTGATAGTAAACTAAATTTGATTAATGAACTTAGGCATAATAATACTAGTCTTATGCTGCACATATTGTTCAGGTCTCCAGGCATTATTATATATAATTAAAATCAACACCGATAAAACCTAAACATCATTATTATGCATGTCATTACACTTAAAATAACAGCTTATGAATATCTTGCACAAAGAAAAACTATATCCCTAAAATAGGTACTTGATCATATAATTACATTATACAATAAATAATCAATAACCATACGTTTGTTCTATGTGTTCTATATTTTGCTATCGTAAAGAATCAATTAAAAATCCAACAACCCCCCCCCCCCACCACCAAGGCTATGTAAGAACCACCACACGTTTGTAACTTTCTACAATGAAATATTTGTATAATCAATTAAAACACTGAATAACTAATATAAAAGGAAACAAACTTTTTTCAAATAATAAATTCAATGATTAAAATAAATTAAGTTTTCGGCAATTTGCAGAAGCCATTAAATAATTTAACAGTAATAATAATAACAAAAACAGCTTTTAGTAATGTCCTGGGTACTGTAGATTTGTTAGTTAAGTTTGTCGAAACGGTAATCAATAGACACACTTTACCGTCCAATAGGCAAAGTTTGGTCTATAATAAAGAAGTGGACGTCCCTACCTTGATGAGTTCTAGGTTCCCTCTGACCTGGACGGATAGAAAGGGTCCTATCCAGGGTTATGGAATAATATAATGCAGACATTGTTGAAATTAAATAATAAAAAAATAATAAAGATAAATTAAATTTTACAAATTAATAAATAAATCAAAAATAATAAATAAAAAGAAAAACCACACATCCGAACGTTTGTACATCTGTTTCAAAATGCCTTTGAAAAATATAATGCAGAAAACTAACTTAAATTTTAAAAAATAACTAATAAATTAAATTAAACAACATAATATATTTAAAAAAAATTAAAAATGAAAAGCCAAACATCCAAACTTTTGTACACATGGTTCCAAAATGCCTTTGAGCTACACTGAAGTTTGTCCATTAATGGAAGAATAAGAAGATACAAGAACAGTTACTCGTCGGTTACTGGCGAAGAAAACCAACATTTTTGTTCTAACAACTTAAAATATACACAGTAATAGTTAGCAATTAATACTTTTATAATATTACTAATAATAATAAAGCATAATTTGACATTGACAGCAAGATAAATGACGTTTTTTTTCTTTAAACATCAGGCAAAAGAGTGTTTGTAATAAATAATATAATTTAGATTGTATTTTCATAAATATTATAATTTTTCTTCAACGACAACAATTGTTAAATAATAAAAAAAAAACCAATTCATTGACGAAGGGTGATAAGGTATAGTTAAAGAAAACTAATTTAATCTTAACACATTTATAAAAACAATACATACCAATTATTCTAGAATTTACAAAAAGTTGGAATAAACGAACAATAACGGAAGCAGGAGATAAACAAAATTAAACAAAACTAATTATAAAACTGAAATTAATTATGTATGTGATAATTTAAGTTAAATGGGACTGGAATATATCAATTCTTAAATAATTATATTTACTTATCTCCATAAAGACGAACATATCATTTCATTTGCAAGTGCCTCTACTTAATTCATTATTTTGATATATTTTTATTTGTTTCTGTTAATCAAATACACACTAACAATTTGAAATTTGCACATGCTTTCGCCGGAACTACGGTAATGCTTTAAAATTGTTTCTATGATATTTTATATTATTGTCGTCGTGAGGAGAGCCCGTCGACAGTTGGATCAATCTTCTATGTCTGGGACATCCTACCACATAACCACTATATTTCTATTTGTATTTATGGCGCAATAAGTGAAATGAAACATATACGAAAGAAGTAAATAATATACTAAATTTGTGTCTGCCTGTAAAACTAAGAATTGTTTGATTAGATTCAGAGACATATCTTAACAAAGTCTGTTTCAAGCTGGGCAATGCTGTATTTTATCAACCTAAAGAACCAACACATTTTGTATTGAGTGCAACAAACAGAAATTAATTATAGTATATTCCTAAACGACCTTGGGTACACTGTATTTCATAACTGAATAGTGAACATGGTAAATTATTCCAAAAACAGTTACACTGGGTAAATTACTGATGCATTTTATTATCTAGGCAAATTAAATTGATTTCAAATAATTAAATTGGTTAATCAATAACCGATCTTGTTTGTAAAATAATGAAGTACTACTTTTCCCACAATACTGGTTCTTAAAGGCCAACTCAGACAGCGTCGGCCGACGCAGCCCGACGCGATTTGTTGTCGCGTCGGGTCTGTGTGAGTTGAACGCAGACGCGATGGTGTGCGTCGGGCGATTTTTTTTTCCGTACGAAACATTTACATGAAACTCCACTCGGGCCGTCTCGGCTGAATCGACCCGAAAATCTCATTGCAGAATTCAGGAGGTCAAAAGGTCATCAACAGATAAACGTCTGCAGAAAAACTTCTGAGAGAACGTCGCTGTCTAATTTTTAAAAATACATTGATGTTACCGAGTTAATACCAATGGGTCGTTTAAAATGACATAATATTTGATTAGGCTGCACGAGTAATGAAAAGTGTTATTTTAACTTGAGTTACATATACTATGACAATTTTAATTTTTTAGTTAGGCCTGGGTTTTGCATAATTACCTAGGCCAACTAAAAACGCTTTCTGGGAAAAGCACAAATAGTAAGGAAAAGCGCGTTTTTCTTCATCTGATCAAATGAAACAGAATGACAGTTATTTTCAAATTAAGAGAAGAGCTGAGAATAGGCAGCTCTAAAATACTGGATGCCATAAGACCTGCCAAAATGGCAAAACATCAAATGAATGTAAAAATGAGATACTTATTAATATTAGGCATAGTAATCGGCAGGTTCTTGATTACAAGGCTAGACCAAGTTAATTGTA